CAGCTGGGGGTTCCAGCTCCACATGGCCCTTCAGGGGTGGTTTTGGGGTGGGACTGGGGGGTTTGGTGGCTCCAGGTCTGCTCCAGGTCCTGCTGCCCCTCATCAAAGGTTATCAGAGTCTGAGCAGATCCCAAGGAGCTCAGGGGTGGATTAGGAGGTGCAGGGGCACAGCCGGGGCTTCCAGCTCCATGTGGGGCCTCGGGGGTGCTTTTGGGGTGGGACTGGGGGGTTTGGTGGCTCCAGGTCTGCGCCAGTCCACACTTGAAAGGTTGTTGGAGCTTGAGCATCTCCCAGCGAGCTCCAGGGTGAATTAGGAGGGGCAGGGACTGAGCTCCAGGGATCCCGCTGAGCTCCAGGGATCCCACTGAGCTCCAGGGATCCTACTGAGCTCCAGGGATCCCTCTGAGCTCCAGGGATCCCCCTGAGCTCCAGGGATCCTTCAGAGCTCCAGAGAACCCTCTGAGCTCCTCCAGGGATCCCCCTGAGCTCCAGGGATCCCTCTGATCTCCAGGGGTCCCACTGAGCTCCAGGGATCCTTCTGAGCTCCAGGGATCCCTCTGAGCTCCAGGGATCCCTCTGAGCTCCTTCAGGGATCCTGCTGAGCTCCAGGGATCCTGCTGAGCTCTGTGGATCCTGCTGAGCTCCAGGGATCCTGTTGAGCTCCAGGGATCCCCCTGAGCTCCAGGGATCCCCCTGAGCTGCAGGGATCCCACTGAGCTGCAGGGGTCTTGCTGAGCTCCAGGGATCCCACTGAGCTCCAGAGAACCCTCTGAGCTCCTCCAGGGATTCCCCTGAGCTCCAGGGATCCCTCTGAGCTCCAGGGGTCCCTCTGAGCTCCAGGGATCCCTCTGAGCTCCAGGGGTTCCACTGAGCTCCAGGGATCCCACTGAGCTCCAGGGATCCCCCTGAGCTCCAGGGATCCTTCAGAGCTCCAGAGAACCCTCTGAGCTCCTCCAGGGATCCCCCTGAGCTCCTCCAGGGATCCCCCTGAGCTCCAGGGATCCCTCTGAGCTCCAGGGATCCTGCTGAGCTCCAGGGATCCCGCCAAACTCCAGAGATCCCGCTGAGCTCCAGGGATCCCCCTGAGCTCCTCCAGGGATCCCGCTGAGCTCCAGGGATCCCGCTGAGCTCTGTGGATCCCGCTGAGCTCCAGGGCCCTGAGCTGAGCCCCGCTGACGCCCTGCCCCGTTCCCACAGCGAGCCAAGCTGGAGGCGGCNTGACCTGGTGAAGCATTTTGGGGGTGACTGTCCCAGTGACCTGGTGAAGCACTTTGGGGGTGTTTGTCCCGCTCATCCCGAAGGATTCCAGTCCCACTGGGGCAGGAGGGGTGTTGTGAGGGATGTGATCCCGACAGGAAGGTGGGGTGAGGAGGAGCAGGAATCAACCCCGGGATGCAGAAAGGGGGGGATGCAGAGCCCGAGGGCAGGGCTGGGGTGGCCCCACACCTTCCTCCTCTTCCTGGGCACGGCATCCACTCCCGTTTTCCAGCTTCCAGCAGGGAACACCCTGTTTGGGCACACATGGGGATTTCTGGGCGCTCTGTTTGCTCTGCCCGGGGGTTTTTATCTCCCTATCAGAGGGCTGGGGCCGGGCCGGGCACTGAGCGGCTCCCACCGGGATCTGAGGCTGCTCTGGGGTAACCTGAGCTCCCCCAGCCGCTGATAAAGCCGGTGATTCATCCCCGGCTTTGTTTGGTTTCGGGGCAGGGAGGCCCCGACACACGCGGGGCTTGGAGCCAAGAGCTGCCCCGAGCGGCTCTTTGAGTAATGACCGAGAGCACAAAGCCCATTGTGAGCCCTTCCTGCCAAAGCCGGGCCCTGGGGAGGGGCAGGGGCACAGCCGGGGCTTCCAGCTCCACGTGGGGCCTCGGGGGTGCTTTTAGGGTGGGACTGGGGGGTTTGGTGGCTCCAGGTCTGCTCCAGGTCCTGCTGCCCCTCATCAAATGGCCCCTCATCAAAGGTTGTCAGAGACCAAGCAGCTCCCAATGAGCTCTGGGGTGGATTAGGAGGTGCAGGGGCACAGCCGGGAGTTCCAGCTCCATGTGGGGCCTCGGGGGTGCTTTTGGGGTGGGACTGGGGGGTTTGGTGGCTCCGGGTCTGCTCCAGGTCCTGCTGCCCCTCATCAAAGGTTGTCAGAGACCAAGCAGCTCCCAACAAGGTTTGGGATGAATTAGGAGGTGCAGGGGCACAACTGAGGGTTCCAGCTCCACATGGGGCCTCAGGAGTGGTTTTGGGGTGGGACTGGGAGCTTTGGTGGCTCCAGGTCTGCTCCAGGCCCTGCTGTCCCTCATCAAAGGTTGTCAGAGTCTGAGCAGATCCCAATGAGCTCAGGGGTGGATTAGGAGGTGCAGGGGCACAGCTGAGGGTTCCAGCTCCACGTGGGGCCTCGGGGGTGCTTTTGGGGTGGGACTTGGGGGTTTGGTGGCTCCAGGTCTGCTCCAGGTCCTGCTGCCCCTCATCAAAGGTTATCAGAGTCTGAGCAGCTCCCAACGAGCCATGGGGTGAATTAGGAGGGCAAACCTGAGCTTTCCTGGGGTTTTTTTTGAGGTTGAGGTGGGGTGGAAAGCCCAGGGTCACCTGAAGGGAGCCCCCAAAAGCGCAGAGAAAGAGGGTCTTGCCTTTTGGGGTGGGCTGAGCTTCCCCATCCCCACCCGGTGCTGAGAAAGAGGGTCATCCCAAAGCCTTTTGGGATTGGGCTGAGTTTCCCCATCCCCACCTGGGCACCCCAAAACCCAGCTCCAGGGATCCCGCTGAGCTCCTCCAGGGATCTTGCTGAGTTCCTCCAGGGATCCCCCTGAGCTCCAGGGATCCCACTGAGCTCCAGGGATCCCACTGAGCTCCAGGGATCCCACTGAGCTCCAGGGATCCCACTGAGCTCCAGGGATCCCGCCGAGCTCCAGGGATCCCACTGAGCTCCTCCAGGGATCCCACTGAGCTCCAGAAATCCCTCGGAACTCCAGGGACCCCACTGAGCTCCAGGGATCCCACTGAGCTCCTCCAGGGATTCCCCTGAGCTCCAGAGATCTCCCTGAGCTCCAGGGATCCCCCTGAGCTCCTGAAGGGATCTCGCTGAGCTCCAGGGATCCCCCTGAGCTCCTGAAGGGATCTCGCTGAGCTCCAGGGATCCCCCTGAGCTCCTCCAGGGATCACACTGAGCTCCAGGGATCCCCCTGAGCTCCTCCAGG